TGCTTTACATAAACAAACCTCAACCTCAAAAGATGGGCCTTCTTCTCCAAAAAAGAAACAAAGGCAAATAGCTGAAGTTTCAAAAATTTGTGCAGAAGCCAGAGTGGAACAATTTTCAGAAACTTTTTATGTCTATAACAATGTGCTTTTCTGCATATTTTGTTATCATAGTGTTGATTTGTTTGTTTTGTTTTACAGCACATCAACCTCAATGGGTCATTTAAAGCCAACAACTTTTTTTTTTTTTTGTAATATTTTTATCAAAAATCTATTTCTGTTAATATTTTTTTTCCTCAAAAACATATAGGTGGTGATATTTTTCCTCAAAAACGTATAGCTGATAATATTTTTCCTCAAAAACGTATAGCTGGTAATGATATTTTTTTTCAAAAATGTATAGCTGGTAATATTATTTTTTCCAAAAGCGTATAGCTTGTAATATATTTTCCAAAAGCATACAGCTGGTAATATTATTTTTTAAAAAAACGTACAGACAGCAACACTATTCTTTCAAAAAACAAAGTATAACTGGTAATGTTTTTTCAAAAACATACAGTTGGCAACTCTTTTTTTTTTTTTTTTTTTTTTGTTAAAAATTTATTTTCAGAAGCCTTGCTGTTGAACGAAGTTTATCGTCATACCCAGGACGCGGACGTAGTTTATCGTCATACCCAGGCCGCATAGTGTTGACCCTGTTAGAGTAGGCATTATAAAGAACAATTTAAGTCTAAAAAAACAATTGAGCAAAAAAAGTTTCTAACAAACTCCTAGGAAACAGAATACTGTAAGAACTTTGGTGAAAAGTAAAGATATGAGAAATCCTTTCATCCTTGATTATTTTTTTTTTCAAAATGTACACAATGTGTGACATACCCATCAATTATAAGACCATTTTTGTTAAAGCGTTATAAGTAAGGTAGTGCTATTCCTAGTGCGAAATGTATTAGGCAACTCTATCTACTGAACTTGATAGTCATTTTGCTACCCTAAAAACAAAGCTTACCAACTAAATCACAAGTATCATAGCAGAAGAAAGAACTGACCACAACATTTTGAATGTGATTGCAAGCATTCAAAGGGAGCCATTTCTTATTGATGTTGTCACCCTGAAAGAATGCAATCATCAAACTTGCAATGTTAACATGAGTAACAGCTCAGATGCATTTGATATTACTGCATATTTGATATCCAGCTGCATATTGTAAAAAGGTGTATACAGATGTTTTATCTGATGTATTTGTGAACATTCATCGTGTCTTGTGTTTAGTACACATTTCATATCTTGTTGGTGAGATATTCTCACACTGACCACAATTTGATAATGTTGCTCAACTCAATACTTTCATTGTCAGTTTTTTTTTTTTTTTTTTTTTTGGTTTTTGTGTCTCCCCCCAAAAAAAAAAAAAACTGGACAAAAAAGTGATATCTGAAATGGCTTGAAGCCTAAGCAATTAGTGAAATTCCCCAATAGAATTCATGGTTCAATTCATCCAAATATTCTTCATATGATCAAATTTAAGGAAGGATTCTTTAAACAAAAAAAGAAAAAAACAAAGAGCTGCAGCTTGGCAATAGACCAAATTTTGGAATTAATAGATGATGGTAAACTGCATCATGTCTCTATATCTATAATTCTCAAAATGTATGTATGTATGTTTGTATGTATGTATGTATGTGTGATCGGATGTTGTTTATGCATTTCCACAGTTTTCATCTGATTTTGATGGAAATTTTTTTTTTTTTTTGTTTGATAGATAATTCTTCAGTGCCAGTTTTGAGTCCAAATTGTTGAGGACAATGGCTCTCCACTACTTCCTGTCCATTATAACTCTCAGCAACATTTTACTATTTACTATCTGTTCTTGGATATATATCTTTCCTAAAAACTTTAATGCAAATAAATAGTTTAAATTATTGCAATAATATTATTATTATACAGTTCCCGTAGCAGATCAAAAGCTGAGTTTTGTTCAGTTTTAGTGCTTAAAACTATTGTAAAGTCTAGATCAGGAACTGGTAACCCCTGGCCCCAGGACCACATTTGGCCCACAAAGCATTTTTGTCCAGCCTGCCAACTTAACACTTGGACACTTATCTAATTAATTTATGGAGAAAGTGGCAGAAAAATATCAGTTGGAGTTAATCGACTTACAAAGCGACAAACTTTTTAAATCAAAATTTAATTCTGAATCCACTGCTGACTTCTACAAGAAATGTTTTGCCAAGCAGAAAATATAAAAGCTTGTTGAATAATGTGAAAATGATGGTAATGAAAGACCTGGTCAAAGACAGGTTATACTGCTAGTAATACAATTATAATGTGTATAAAGTGGGGGATCAATTTTATATTACAATCAATATATAAACTGATCCCTCACTTTGTAGCAATGGTAGTTTATATACATTTATACATTAGTAGATGATAGTATACTGCATCATACCATAATTTGCATTTTCAATGTGCATTTTATCAATGATAACTGCACTCGTTTTATAAAGGCCTTAGAAGAGCCTAAATCATTTTTGCCAAGAGCTCATATTCTATCTGCACAATTTTTACTAATAGCCTGGGGGTGATGGCTTGAGTCCTTGCAAAAAAAAACAATTGAAATTAAGATGAAGGTAGGATCAGTAACTAACAATGTTTGATATTACTTTGTTTAATAATGTTAAATTTTTTCTTTTTTAAAAATTGTTTTGTTGATGTAGACACTAATTTGGTCAAATCTGGTTTTCGTTTCAGGTCCAATGACAATGTTGTGGTTAGAATTTACCTCAGCTATCAGCCGTGGAGTGCCTCTTGCCAAGTGCCGATGTTGTTGTATTTGTCATGTGCCCTGTAAGTCCCATTAAATAACAACCAACATGATTCCAGCAACAATTGCTCACATGCAGGCACCACCTTTCAGAACAGAAATTGACGTAAGTAACTTATCCTTGTTTGAAAGTGTCAAAGGAAATCAGAGAAATCTCCCCACTCCATCCTGTCTCCAATATGCTTATAGTGACAAATATAATCCATCACCACCAAAAACTAAATAAATAGAATCCTGAAATGTTCCAGGCAGAAAAGTATTATGAATATTGGTACCATCATGATGCTAAAATGTGTTAACAACCCTAACCCCTAATAGTCCAACTTAGATATTAACAATTAAATAGTATAAAGGAAATATTCAGCAAAGCCCAACCAAATACAATATTTCAATTTTTATGAAATGTTTAACTATGTAACAAAATATAACCCCAAATATATATACTTGGTGTGACAGCAAAATCATCCAATTGTTAGATTAAGCTTTAAGCTGTTGTATCTCAGAAAAGATTAAAGATGTCTTACTGGAATTCTCTGAGGTTTTTTATAACACTATTGGACTCTACTTTGAACAATAAGAATATCCCTCTTCCTATTGTGACCTCCTGATCCAGTTTTCCTCTCTACTGTTCCCTCTTTTTTTTAAAACCTATTCACCATTCCCTTGATGGTTCTTGAATGGACTTTGAAAATGGAAGCCAGAGTATGAATGTTGGTACCATTACTAAAGTCCAGAATGATCTTTTTCATCTCACCATTGCTCAGTCGTGAAGACATAGTGGGGTTGACACAAAATGATTTTAATCTGTTCTCTTTTTAGCTGAATAACTGCTGTAACCTAGGAAAAAGGTTACTGAATAAGAATAACCAAAACAAAGATTGGAAATGAAACAATAATATTTATAACACAAACAACATACAAGATTTACTAGTGGCGTGTATTAAATAATCAACTGCTAATGGTGAGCTAGAAGGGAATTGCAAGTGGGAGACCTCACTGAAGATATTCATCTACCACCCCACGTGGTCAGATGTGACACAAGACCAAGTTTATCATGGGGTATCTGAGCCCATAGGCACAGTCAAAAATTCCCCGTAAACCCTGTTTTGAGGTAGATTGACTGATTCCATTAGAAAGCACGGCCATGTAAGCCACAATCTAATAGAATTGCAGAAAAAATGGTGCAGACACTAAGACTAGAAAAGGTTACTGACTAAGAATAACCAAAACAAAGGTTGAAAATGAAACGATAATATTTATAACAGAAACAACATACAAGATTCACCAGCGGTGTGTATTAAATAATCAACTGCTAGTGGTGAGCTAGAAATGAATTGCAAGTGGATCTAAATGACTGCCACATACATTCTACTGTATTTATACAGATTGGGACATATCCATTATAGTTCATAGGTATGGTATAACAATAACTCAAAGGGTTTTTCATTGATTCTTATGTAAAATGGTGTCAAGATGGCTAAATGTTTTTTGTTTTTTTTAAAAAAAAAAAACAATTAGTTTTTTAGATATTAAACATTTTGTGGGATGGACAATTATCTCCTGCTGTTACACGATTTTGGACAATTTTGCTATTACACCTTTGTGAGTTTGATAATGGATAATGTTAGCCAAAAGTAATCAGATATTGGACAATCTATATTTAAATATATACCCGTGATGTCTGTTGTGGTGTAATGGATATTAGCTCAAAATGAGAAATTGGAGATCCAAGTTCAAATTCTGGTTGAGTTCATTACATTCACTCACTTACATGCAGATACCCTTTTCTTCCCTCCCTCCTTCCCTCCTTTTTCTTTCCTCCCTCTATCCCCCCCTTTTCTTCAAATTTATGGATTTTCATAATGAGTCATCCTTATTTATTATATCAGAAAAATTTAATCTCCGACACCAGAATCCGGATCTATTTTTAAATCAATAATGAATCCAAATCGTGTTTTCATAGTTTTCCATTAACTTTTTCTTCTTTCTTTTTGCAAATGATAATTAAGATTTATTAAATTAAAAATTATCAGCTTATTAATTGGCACAACCATAATTGAAAATTTTCTAAATTTGTCGCCTGCATTCTTTTGTGCGCACACACATCTGCCCTTCACTCATACACTGCTGTAAATTTGAAATTAACTTAAAAATATTCTGTCATTGTAGATTGATGATGATGTGATGGAGAGCACGTCAACACACCCTTGTCATCGTCTCAGTATTCCAGCTGCCAGACTCTTTTGGTGCCGCCATTGCATGCAAATATTCGAAGACCCCATCACCAGGTGGCGGCACAGCAAAACCTGTCTTCACTCATCCTCTGGCAAAGTCAGAAAGGACAAAGATGGCAGCACCATGCAGGTCTTTCTCAGTGCTAACAACTTGTCAGAATTACGTCGCGAACAAAACAGGTCTCGGGTTATCAGTCGAAGTGTCGGGCCTGGTCAATCACCAGGCACTGATCTCAGATGCTTCATTTGCAAGACTACTTTTGTATCCATCGAGGAGATGCGGGTACATGTCCGCACTCCCTGTCGGAAGCGGCCAACATTAGCAGTGCCCAAACAAAAATTCTCAGCCATGCCTGCCGAGATTAAAACACAAATCCAGATACCGGATACAGCATCTGAAATAATATACATCAAAGATGGACATCAGACGGTTATTTCTTTGGAGTCTCCATGTGCAGCAGAAGTCTTGAATACAGAATTTGTTGAACCAAATCAAGAATATGAGCCTGACGGTGTTTCTGCCATGGAAAAAGTGATTATACTTCCTGATACATTTGACAGCACAACGAATCTCAATGCTATTGAGCAAACTGTTGAAATTACAGCTGTTGAAACCGTAATTCCTGTTGCGTCCAAAAGTGAAGAGGTCCCCAAGCAGCCAAAAAATCGGAATGAGAATAAAACAAAACAACATATACGAAAGCGCAAGCGTATTCTTCCAAAAAAAGGTCGATGATTGGCCAAATCACAAAATGAGTAACTCTCCAAAATCTGACCCCCAAATCGTGTTAAGTTTGCCTACCAAGCCAGATGATACCAAAGACATTTCAGATGATTTTGAAACTCCTCCCATAAAGATCTCTAAAATGACCAACAAAGAGCCTGAAGATGAAACAGGCCAAGCTAAAGTTCGAACAAAGCCTTTGCAGACTAAGGAAGAGTTTAGTCAATTGCTGACTACAGAAAGGAAAGAGAATCAGTTCTTCCTGGAAGAAGAACACCTACTTAATGGAGTCACACTGAACAGGTGTCTGATGAAGCCGTTCTGTTGACAGCGCCTGCTTCACCTGTAGAAAAAATTGTTACTGGTGCTGCTGCAGAAGCCAAGCTCAAAGACTTGTTTACCACAATAGAGATGCAGAATAAAATGAAACTGTCCCCATCCCCCAAGCAGGCCAAAAGTGTCAACCCTCCTCCAGAGTCTCCATGTAAGACTAGCAACCTGACGAACATCGAGGATGATACTGACGAGTGTCAAAATGACAATGTGGAAAAAGATGAAAACCAGTCTGGCATTTCCCAGGAAAAAGAGACTGATAACTCTGGGTTACTTCTTTACATGCCACCAATTAATGCTGGATCCGTCACTTTGCCCGACCCATTACTTGACCTCCAAAGTGGCCTTCCTGCCGAAATGTTGCTGGATGAAACTACCAATACAAAACCCCCTATACCCACTGCACCAGAAGCCATCAACACTTTTATCCCTTCAGATCTTGTGGAGGAAACAAAATTGCCATCGCATATCTTTGATGGAGATCTTTTGCCGTCTCAGATTCATTCAGAAGTTTTATTTGAAGAAATTACTGACGAGAAAGAAAATTCACCTCTGGTTGATAATAGAATTGATGAAGAGTTGGTTTTGGCCGAACCTAATCTTGAAGAAGCTGTTAAAATAGACTCCCCTGTTGGTATTAATGAGACTGAAGAGGAAACGGAAGTAGAAACAGAAGAATGTACATCTGACATAGAAATGATTACAATCACTGAAGTTGACCCTCCAACTCTAAAAGATTCTGAGGAAAATCAGGAAAGTCCAGTTGAAGAATTAGGATTGAAACAGGTAAACAATGTAGAATCTGTGTTACCTCTTTCTGAGTCTTTGGAAATGTCCAACCAGGTAGCAGAAACAAACCCTGAAGAGAATACTGAAGTGAAAATCAGAGTTTCAGCTGATGAAGAGGAGGAAACAATCAGTTCTGAAAAATCCGAGACTGAAACGAAACATAAATTATCAAAACTTTTCAAATGCAAGGCTTGCAGCAACACTTTCAAAACTTCACAAGCCTTGCAGAAACATTCCCGTGTCCCTTGCAAAATAAAACATACAAGAAGCCTAAGTCAGAAAATTCTACGTCCAAAACAGCCATGCTTAAAAATCGAAAAGAAACCAATGAAGAAAAAAATGGTAAAACCAACAAGGCGTCCCAAATTAATGATTCCAATCATTCCAATCACAAGGTCTGAATTGATCCGACCGGCAGTTCCCAGGAGACCCAAGCGCTTTTCTCGACGCAAACGGAAAAAAAGTTACTTCATCGACGAGCAGAATCGTATCTTGCCATTTGTCAATGTTCTCATGTCGGAACTTTCAGACAAGGATCGTTTCTTCTACAAGTTGGGTATGATAAACCAATGCCATAAAATCCCCTCTTCTTCTGAGACAACCACATCAACGGCTCAAAATGGTGAGGCGCCTGCATTAGAAACGTTGGGTGATTCTGCCAAAGAATCTTTGTCGAAACTTCAGTTCACTGACATCATGACAGAATCGACGTATCCACCTGAAATTGCACCACTGTCCCTTGCTGAAGTGGTTGCTGCTGAACCTCAGGAAATTTCATATACAGCATCACCTGCTGTTGCAGGTGCTTGTGTTTCAGATAAAGAGAACCCCTCCGCACTGGCCAAGGGCCTATGTTTATCACTGCCCACCCTGGAGAAGATGGACAACAACCAGTTTCACGATCCTAACAGCATATCTCCAAGCTCTGTCAAGCCAGAATCTCATGATACGTCCAGTGAGATGACGGGTCAGTCAGTGCAGTCCCCTTGCTGGGAGGCTGCTCCTCGCTTAGCACAACTGCCTGGGGTAACACAAATTGTCAGGGTTACTTCTTCTGCTGACCTGTCAAATGGAACTGGCATGACAAAGAAACCATCTCCTGATCAGTGCAGTGTCATTGCCAACAGTAAAGATCTCCCTTTCTCCAATTCCAGTACGCTTTCTAAGACACAGTCCAAAGAAATCTCTCAGGAAATGGTAAATGATTCCAGTTTGAATATAAGCGGTAACCTGCTCTTAAAATGTGAAGAAATTGAAGTATTGGATTTAAATGAACCCCATGGAAATGTCTTTCAGAACAGTGCTTCCCAACCAGAGATAGTGTCACTATCTTTGCAAGAACTAAGTTTAAAAGAACAGTCTTGTTCTAGCAGCAAACTAAAGATTCAGAAGACCAACAACAAGAAAAAATCTGGGGCTGAATGCAAAATACAATTAAAGAAAGCCAAGATTATCTCCCCTGAAAATACAAACCTCTCTCGCTCATCTATCAGTAAGAATTCTATAAAGTCTAAACTGAATCATTCACAAAGTGCAAAGTACAATGTTATAAAATCAATCAATCCAACCAAAAATCATAATCGTATCAAAGACAGGAACCAAAAACAGACTGACTCTTTTACTGGTGCTAATATTGCAATGAGGCAAAAGAAACATCGATCTGAAGATTCTAGTATTTCAAATTCGCAAAAGGGAATTTCTTCTTCCGTGTCCCAAGACGTTACATGTTTGTCTTCTAAGAACGTAACATTCAACCGAAATTCTGCTGAACCTGTTTCTTCAGGCAAGAAAGAATTCTCAATTTTGGAATCACTTACAGATAAGCCAAAGTCATGTAAGAAGATAGCCATGAGTTTAATGTCTCCCATGGCTACCAGCAATTTGTGCCAGAAGGTAGCCTCAAGACCAGAATCTCTTACGGATACCAGCACTTTTTACCAGAAGGTAGCCTCAAGACCAGAATCTCTTACGGATACCAGCACTTTTTACCAGAAGGTAGCCTCAAGACCAGAATCTCTTACGGATACCAGCACTTTTTACCAGAAGGTAGCCTCAAGACCAGAATCTCTTACGGATACCAGCACTTTTTACCAGAAGGTAGACTCAAGACCAGAATCTCTTACGGATACCAGCACTTTTTATCAGAAGGTAGACTCGAGACCAGAATCCCCTACAGCTACCAACACTTTGTGCCAGAAGGTGGCCTCAAGACTAGAATCTCCTACGGCTACCAGCACTTTGTGTCAGACAGTCGCCTCAAGCCCAGAATCACCCAAAACTACCAGCACTTTGTGCACAAAGGTAGCCTCATATCAGGAATCTCATATAGCTACCACCAGTTTATGCCAGAAGGTACCCTCAGACCAGGAATCTCCTATAACTATCACTGCTCCATGCGAGAATTTGCCATCTTTTTGTGTTTCAACTATACCTGCCTTCTCTTCAGAAAATATGTCTCAACAATCAGTGACTTTAAGTGTAAAGGCAGAACCTCATGAAGAAACTACAATTAAAGAAAACAATGATTTTGTTTCTATTAAAATTGAAAATGGTTCCACTTCTAATTTATCAAATGACAAAAATCAAGAATCTCTTGTGTGTAAGAAAGTCGTTTGTAATCTTGGTTCTGACTCAGTATCTAACCCACTTGACCGCTGTCAAAGCAAAACTGCCACGCGTGAAATGCATGAAGATCAAAATAGGCAACCTATCATAAAGAAGGAATATGAACATAAGCAGCACTCGCTAAAAGACACTGTTGTCCAACCAATCGAGAGGCCCTTCGATATTAATGTTTCAGAAGAAACTTCTAAAAATTTGTCAGACATCGGTAATGACAACCAACGTCATTTTAGTGACATATTTGGTGATGAGAAAGTTTCTCTTGGAGGTGAAGACTTAAACTCGAATTATCAGATCTCTCCTTCCAAAGAAAGATCAAAACGTCATTTCACAGATTTTCTTTGTGTATTTTCAGAGGAGAATTCAACGCCTCGGGCACAAAGTACGCAAGAGCATTCTGGTTTTTCAGTAGAAAATATTAAGAACATTGAAATGAAAGAGGAAAATGTTTCAGAATATTTGAAGACAAACGAAACACTTACACAGTCTACTTGTTTGGCACAACAGAACAGAAATGTTAGTGTTGATGATAGAAATGTATTGCAAGTTGCAGAAGTACCTGTAATTTCTTGTCAAAAGTATAAGAATCAAGAATTAGGTAATGAAAAGTTTGTCAAAATGACAGGATCACCTGACACATCAGTTGTAAAAAATGAACATGTAGTAAAACCCTCCCCCATGTCAGGTGAATGTCACCCTGAAAGTTCTGTGACAGAATTACTGTCTGGAGAGTCGTCGTTGAATTCTGAGTCATGTAGTCCTTGTAAAACTGAAGTCACTGCTGTATCGGCTGTTACAAGCACAACTGTGACGACCTCAGTCTTGAGCCATAGTAGTAATAATGGCACTATGACGAACTCAGACCCAGTAGAACATAAAACCCCATCCCCAAATTCTGAAACCCCTTGCAATCTGTCAACCACGACAACTTCAAACCCCCGCGTATCAATAGCCACCCAAACTGACACAAGTTTTTTAAAGGAGATAAAAACTGGAGTAAATGTTCCATCAGATTCTTGTGATAATGTGGAGAAAAATGAACCACTTCCATCTTCTGTTTCTTTGAATATTGATCCCCCTCTTCCTTCATCTCCCCCCACAAATACTAACCCCAGCCCAACATCTGTTGATGTCATTCCTCCCCCGACTGTTGTTGCTATAGAAGAAAGGAGTGAGGAAGTTGTCCAAGAGAAATCTCACTTGGATGCCAATCCACTGCCTTTGTCCCCAGAGATTGTAATCAACGACAACCACCTTTCAACAATCTCTCCCCCTACGGAGACCACCACATATGAACCTGTCCAAGAAGGTGAGGTGGTGCTACAGGAGAAGACTGATGACTCTGTCCTGCTGCAACAGTCTGTCCCTGCCACAAACCCAGTTGCTGTTGAGACCCTAGAGCAGCAGCAGCTGGTGCTGGACAACACTACCGACCCTAATGTCTTGGTTCAGTATCTAAACAGCTTGGACCCTTCCATACTGCCAGGAGAAGTGACGTTTGTCATCATTCAAGGGACGCCTGGTGAGGCTCTCCAACTTACAAATGATCACAACTTTATCATCGAACAGACGGGAGACGACTCAGCCGGTGGTTCAGTTATTTACACACTGCAGTCCCCCCCGTCAGACATTGCAACAGAAGCTGAGATCGTCATGACAGATTCATCGTAACATATTCTTCCTTTTAAAAGAGCAATCATTGTTTTCGTTTTTTTTTTCTTTTTCTATTTTTTTCACTGTCTTCTTTCAACGGTGTGTGGGGGCGAAGAAGGGGGTACTTCTCTTCTCTTCCCTTACAGAATTGTTGACACGCCCAAAATGTAAGACAAGTCAGTTTTACAGGATCTTTTTATTGTTTTGTTTTTTTATTATCAGATTATATATATATATATATATATATATATATACATACACACACACACACACACACACACAAGCTCATATAGTCAAGTTAGAATTTATAAGTGTTTAATTAACTTTTTTTCTTTTTTTTTTCTAATTTCATCAAGGAATAAATAGATATTGGATTAAAAAGAAAAAATGGAATACGAACCTGAATGCAGAGCTCAATTGTACAGCAAAGGGTTCATTACAAAGAGGTCTGATTTTTCACCCTTGACAGAATAGATCCCAATACCCTTAATCTAGTTTAGTTAAATCAACTTCCTGTCCAGTATGTTTTGGCGTTTTTTTTTTGTTTTTTGGTTTTTTTTTTAGATCTTGAACAAGATTTTTCCTGTTATGTGCTTGTAAAATCATCTCATGGTTTTGTTACAGAAACAATATCCTTTCGTCTCTCTGGTTTTTCTATTTGAAGAATGAATTTTGTAATTGGAAAATAACCTAAAAATCTCAAAATCCAGTTAAAAAAATACTAGCTGTTTGGGTTTAATATACAGGCTTTTATTTCTAAGCAAGTTAAGGTCAATATATTTTCAATATTTGTTCTCATAAATACAAGAGAAACATTTATTTGAATGTGCCAATAAATTGCTCAATATTTATCTAGAGCTCTAATTATTGCAACAGGAGTAATTAAAGTTCACAATATTTATCAGGGGTCGACTCAGAGTTTTATGATTCCTCACTTGTCATGATCCAGACAAGAATGATTGTATTAATTATTACAGAATATTTATTTTTGATATTTTATATATGGTAATTAATTCTTAATTGCCAGTTTCTTAAGTTTTCTCTTTAATTTTAAATCTTATATTTTTAGTTTGATACCCGTTCAAAGTCACTAATATAATTCATATAAAACATAGGTATTTATATAATTAAGTAGATAAACGGGAGTAAAGAGGTTAATCTATCGCATGGTTCATGCTTCTCCCCAGTCTTTTGAACAGGTGTAGAGGTTTATCCCTTGTTTCTTGTTTAGGATATTGGGTTTCCAGTTTCTTCTGAAGTCTTTTTCATTCTCTTTCACTCCCAGTAGCCTCTTGTGTCTTAGTGGTGTTGTCACCTTGCTTGGAGCAAATTAATTTAAAAAAAAAAATCAATTTTTAATGTTTGTTTTATAATGGTGAACTTATATATATATATATATATATATATATATATATATATATATATATATATATATGGTGAACTTATATATATATATATATATATATATATATATATATATATAATGGTGAACGAGCATCTGTAATAGGGATTGGTTAGCTGTCCTAGTGGATAGGTATCCTCAAATACAAGTGGCCGGCTATTATATATATATGTGTGTGTGTGTGTGAACATTGAAGTCTACATTTAGGCGGTCTGATGATGTGTTGACTTCAATGTTCACTTTTATATTTATATTTATGTACACTCTATCTCTGATATTGAGCACTTTATCCCATAAATATAGCGCACCTTAAAACTATATTTCTTCATATATATATATGTATGTATGTATGTAATGAAAAACTTGTTTTTGCAGTTGTAGAGAACTCGAAATCTTTACAGTTTTAAGCATAGAAAAATTTTCAATTTGAAAATTTAGCCTAAATAATAGAATATATGGCAAACATGGACCTTCATGCACAAAAAAAAAAGTCAAGAGGGCAGTTTTTCCTTTGACACTGCTATTATTTTTAACTACCTTCACTCTTCAACAATGTTTGTTTTAAAAAGTGACAATTAGAAGTGTAATAAAACCTAAACATCTGAGGAAAGTGAATTTATACATTTTCTTTATTCTTGAGAATTGACAACAAAAATAATAAACACTATTAGATTGTTTTTTACACTCTTATATTGTTTATTGGAATAGTTGACAAAACGCTAATTGCTAACTGATTTGAACTTTATAGAATAATAAATAATAAAAATTTCCTTATAGTTGGTTCATATATTTTAATAATTTAGTAAATTTTTTTTAATAAAAAATTGTTTTCATATTTATTTCTTTATAAATTGGTAAATGTTAAATATTGCACCGCATTAGTTTTAATACAATTACATTCGTTTTAGAATGTTACAAATATAAAATTATTCTTCTAAATAAACACTCTAATAAATAAATGTGTTTAATATTTTTGCTGTAAAATTCTCAAGAAGAAGAAAAAAATGTATAAATTCACTTTCATCGTATGTTTAGGTTTTATTTCAATTCTAATCACTGCTTTTTAAAACAATAAACATTGCCAAAGAGTGAAGTTAGTTAAAATCAAAATGGTATAATGGGGAAAACTGTCCTTTTTGACATTGTTTTTATGCAGACACAAAGGTTCATGTTTGCTGAATATATATATATTCTGTAATAATCAATACAACCATTCTTGTCTGGATCAAGACAAATGAGGAATAACAAAACTCTGACCTCCAATAAGTATTGTGAACTTTAATTCCTACTGAACTTAAGAATGGTGTCATTTATATGCTTCTGGATCCTGTTCATGTTGGTCTTCTACAAGATTCTCTCCTTTCTGCTGTCTCTCCTTTGGAAAAGTTACACTTCCCCTCAACAAATACTGCTCCTCCCCCCAATGATTACTGACACTAGTTATAGGGAAATTTTGCTCTTGTTTTAACAAAACATAGCCTGTCTGGGGATCCTCTCTGCTCAGAGGCAGAGAGTTTGACCAGCACAGCTGAAAAAGATTTCAGCTAGTCAAAGCAAAATGTTCAACCTTCCATTGCAAGTTGAATTGAATTTCTTGGTTGTGTAGTCATATCCTTCTATGGCAACACTGAAAACAATCTTGACTGAAATTGAGAGCCAGGCTATTGCAATTTCAAATATATAGAAGTAATATATGAAACCCTATATTTTGAGGGAATTCCATACTCAGTAAAAGGAGAAGTAATATTTATAAATGTTGCAGAGTGCTAAATGTTAAGAAATATAGTACAGCTTTAATTTTTATATTTTATGAGAAAATACTGCGGTGAAGGGTTTTGTCAAATGATTCTTTTTACTATCATATTTTCTCTCTCCAAAGTAGGAGAGCTTTTAAAATTTTCCTCTGTGTACCAAAAAGTATAAATACTCAGTATCTTGTAGGAATGGATGAAATTTTAATTTAAGAAAATTTATTATTATTTCCAAACTGTGTAACAATTATAATAGATTATTGGATTCCTGTTGTAGAGTAGTGGTCACATTTGTGGCATGCTAGAACAAAACTGTTCCCAATAAATATCTGTGATGGACAACACCAGTAGAACAATAAGTTAATCCCATATACTGCTCCAGTACTGACCCTGTACCAGACTAGGTTAAGTTTAGTAACTAATTTAATATCCTGTTGTAGCATGAGTTGGCATAGTGTTTCTTGATAAAGGAAGCATTTGCCTGTCATTTCTTGCTGAAGGAAACATTCAATGGATGTTTCTTGTCAAAGGAAGCATTTAAAAGGAGTGTTGTGTATTGTACAGAAGTTTTTGTCTACCAATGATGCAGTATTTGTATTTCAGGGTTTATTAACTGTGTACTCCATGTATACAACCTTTTGTCATGGGTGTCCAATCTAACAATGGTTAGTAAAATTAGTAGACATCTCTATTTTTGGCCTTGAGCCAGGACTAGAATAAACTTCATAAACATCACTAATTATCTTTTATTTATTTTGAAATATTTTGAATGACCAATTTTTTTTTTTTTTTTTATATATATACATGAGAAAAATTAATTTTCTTTAATTTTCCGTTATAAAAAAAAACTCTCTCGCTCTAAAAATTTAGTAGATAATGTTTGTTCCTCACTGGGTGCCGTGCATTCATAATTTTGTGTTAAAGCTGAGTTCATTTCTTTCACTTCCAAAATCTCAATTATGAAAAAGGTCTCTCTATCTTATATATATATATATATATATATATATATATATATATATATATATATTTTGTTCCTCAATGGGTGCCCTGCCTAGTCATCAACTCTTGGGTAATAAAAGTAAATGACTTTTTTCTTTCTTTTTTTTATAGTTGGGGGTACTCTGAATTTTATCAAAATTATAAAGTAATAAATTTTCATTGTTTAGTTAAACAAAACTGTTATTCAACTAACTTAAGTTTCACAAGAAAATCTTTGTTTTGAAAATAGAAAACTAATTTTTTCAAGCTTTCACAATATGTCTTTCAATTTTACCCCCTTCCTCAACTCTCCAATGGGGACTAATTTAGAGTAACTATCACTGTAAAAGTTATAAGATTTTTTTTGTTAGCCAAACCTTTTTCTTATGGCCACATGATTACTGAAGTTAAGCAACATCGAGCTTGGCCAGTACCTAGATGGGTGACCACTTGGGAATACCAGGTACTATAAACTTGGATGTGCAGGTGGTGTAATAGATAAATGGCCCAGAATTATTAATCAGACAATGGAGTTTCAATTCCTGTCAGATTTATTATATTCACCTATATGCAAATGCTCTTGGGTAAGATGAATCCACCACTTCTCCTCCTCTTAATTAGTTAATTAGTAAGACTTGTATCACAAAAAGTATTCTCAAAAAATAAAAATTCTTACAATCTAAGAATATTTTCTGGCTTTAAATAACCTGAAAATGGTTGATGAGCCATAGAAAACAAATCAATCAATCAATTTAAGAAAACTTATATAATATCCTTGTAACTTTTATAAAATGAAAAATATTTAAAATAATAAAAGGAACCTGTGTGTATACAAACTAAATTCAGGCAATCATCAACAAAAAAGAGAGACTATATTAAGAGGCTCC